TGACGTTTAATCGCTCACATCATTTCGGTAAAAGGTCAGATTTAAGTCAACTGATTTTGATGCTCTTAGAAATCACTACGTCGTAGAACTAAATTGTTTGTTGAGTTCTTAATGTCAGTTTTGCTGTGATTAGCTTTACTATCCTTATAAGTTGTTATGTATAGGGGGCTGAACTCCGCCAGTAGAACCTTAGGGGCTACTGCCGGTCCCAAGCCCGGATAAAGGAGGAGGGTTGGACATGGGTTTGGCGACCCCATTCCGCTGAAATCTCACTTGCCAAAAAAACGCTAACCAGAAAAAATAATTCAAACCATTTTAACTCTCCCCTGGGAGTTGGAAGAAGAATTATGACGTCTCGTGATGAAAGCCGAGTTCCCTCGGAAGTCACGGGGCCGATGCCTCTTCTGACAACCAGAGCAACCATTTTGTTAGGTACATGGAACGTTCGTACATTGTGGGAGACTGGAAGACTATTTCAAGTTGCGGCAGAAATGAAAAGATACAACCTCGAGGTGCTCGGCATCAGTGAAACGCATTGGACAAAGGCAGGACAACTGAGACTAGCTTCAGGGGAACTGCTGTTATACTCTGTTCATGAAGAGGAAAATGCTTCACATACACAAGGAGTTGCACTGATGCTGTCCAAACATGCACAAAAGGCACTAATAGGATGGGAATCTCATGGACCTAGGATCATCAAAGCATCCTTCAAAACAAAGAAACAGGACATTACAATGAACGTCATCCAATGTTATGCACCTACCAATGACTACAATGACGACGTTAAAGATCAATTCTACAAAAGGCTGCAGTCAATCGTCGAGAAATGTTCACCAAAGGATTTGACGATTCTTATGGGAGACCTGAATGCCAAGGTTGGCATGGACAACATTGGATATGAAGACATCATGGGACGACATGGACTGGGAGAAAGAAACGAAAATGGTGAGAGCTTTGCAAACCTATTTGCCTTCAACAAACTGGTCATCGGTGGCACAATATTCCCGCACAAACGCATACACAAAGCTACATGGATTTCACCGGACCACACTACTCAAAACCAGATTGACCATATCTGTATCAACAAAAAGTTCAGAAGGACCATGGAGGATGTGAGAACCAGGAGAGGAGCTGATATAGCCTCAGATCACCATTTGCTGATCGCCAAAATGAAACTGAAACTAAAGAAGCACTGGACAACGGGGCAGACAACATCACAGAAGTTTAATACAGCCTTTCTTCGGGATACCGTAAAATTCAACGAATTCAAGATAGCCCTCATCAATAGGTTCCAGGCCTTTCAGGATCTACTCAGTGGAGAGGACGCAACATTGGAGAACAATTGGAAAGGGATTAAGGAGGCAATCACTTCAACATGTCAGGAGGTCCTTGGTCGCAAGAAGCACCACCACAAGGAATGGATCTCTGTTGGTACTCTCGCAAAAATTCAAGAAAGGAGGAACAAGAAAGCAGCAGTGAATGTCAGCCGAACAAGAGCAGAGAAAGTTAAGGCGCAAGCCGGGTATACTGAAGCAAACAGGGAAGTGAAGAAGAGCATCAGAGCTGACAAACGAAAATATGTGGAAGATCTAGCAATGACGGCGGAAAAGGCTGCAAGAGAAGGAAACATGAGACGATTGTACGAAACAACAAAGAAGCTCGCCAGGAACTATCGTAAACCAGAACGACCAGTGAAAAGTAAGGAAGGCAAAGTAATCAGCAACACTGAAGAACAGCGAAATAGGTGGGTAGAGCACTTTAAGGAACTCCTGAATCCACCAGCTCAACTGAACACACCCAACATCGAAGCAGCATCCAAGGACCTCCCAATTAATATTGGCGCACCTACGATTGAGGAGATCAGTATGGCCATCAGACAAATCAAGAGCGGCAAAGCATCAGGACCAGACAACATTCCAGCAGAGGCAATGAAAGCAGATGTAGAAGCAACTGCGAAAATATTTTACATCCTCTTCGAGAAGATTTGGGATGAGGAACAAATACCATCAGATTGGAAAGAAGGATACCTCATCAAAATACCAAAGAAAGGCGATCTCAGCAAGTGTGAGAACTACAGAGGCATCACTCTTCTTTCCATACCAGGCAAAGTCTTCAACAGGGTGTTGTTAAACAGAATGAAGGACTTCGTAGACGTCCAACTTCGAGATCAACAGGCCGGATTTCGTAAGGATCGATCGTGTACTGACCAAATTGCTACATTATGTATCATTGTGGAACAATCAATTGAATGGAACTCACCACTCTACATCAACTTCATCGACTACGAGAAAGCATTCGATAGCGTGGACAGGAAAACACTGTGGAGGCTTCTTCGACACTACGGTGTGCCTGAGAAAATAGTCAACATCATACGGAATTCTTATGATGGATTCAACTGCAAAATCGTGCACGGAGGACAGCTGACAGACTCTTTTGAGGTGAAGACCGGTGTCAGGCAAGGTTGCTTACTTTCACCCTTTCTCTTTCTCCTGGTCATCGACTGGATTATGAAAACGTCAACATCTGGAGGGAAGCACGGTATCAACTGGACAGTTAGGACGCAGCTGGACGATCTGGACTTCGCAGATGACCTGGCTCTTCTATCGCACACTCAACAACAAATGCAAGAGAAGACGACGAGTGTAGCAGCAGCCTCTGCAGCAGTAGGTCTCAACATACATAAAAGGAAAAGCAAAATTCTCCGATGCAACACATCATGCACCAACCGAATCACGCTTGAATGAGATACCTTGGAGGACGTTAACACCTTCACATATCTTGGCAGCATCATCGACGAGAAAGGTGGATCGGACGCAGATGTGAGGGCGCAGATCGGCAAAGCAAGGGCTGCATTTCTACAGTTGAAAAATATCTGGAACTCCAAACAACTTTCAACCAAAACCAAAATCAGGATTTTCAATACAAATGACAACACAGTTCTACTGTATGGAGCGGAAGCATGGAGAACTACCAAAGCCATCATTCAAAAGATACAAGTGTTTATTAACAGCTGTCTACGTAAAATACTTCGTATTCGTTGGCCAGACACAATCAGCAACAACTAACTGTGGGAGAGAACAAGTCAGATTCGAGTGGAGGAGGAAATCAGGAAGAAGCGGTGGAAGTGGATAGGACATACACTACGAAAAGCACCCAACTGCGTCACAAGACAAGCCCTCATCACATGGAACCCTCAAGGCAAAAGGAAAAGAGGAAGGCCAAGGAACACACTACGCCGAGAAATAGAGAAAGATATGAGAGGAATGAACAAACATTGGACAGAACTGTAGAGGGAAGTCCAGGTCAGAGTTGGTTGGAGGACACTGGTGGGCGGCCTATGCTCCATTGGGGGTAACAGGCGTAAGTAAGTAAGTAAGTAATAGGGTGCTAAGTAGATGAATGAATTTGAGGTACCACAACACGGACGGACTGTAGTTAGCCAACTATCGAAAACAAAGAAGGAAGCACTGAACACCTACCTCATTGCAATATAGGATTTTTCGGCGGTGACAGCTTTATTGCAAATATACTTGTTATGTAAATAGTCAAGTTGAATTTCATTGCCTGAAAAATATGATATTTTTTTCGTGTGGTCTTATCACACTGACCTCATATGTAACTAGATAACCAATGTTTGCTTGGTTATGCTATTCTAATACTAACAGATCGATTAGACTGACTTATTGAATAGTCAGTCAGTCTCAATCCTAGTTCAATTAGATATAATCAATTTTGGATTGTGCGGTAATTCCGCAAAACAACAGGGTTAAAATCCTGCGAGGTGCAGCAGGAATCATGGATGCGCACTGCCACTGATGAGTCCCATACCAGGACGAAACGGCCGTCTTTCAGTGCTTCCAGGTCTCTAATAGTGGTCTAACAATGATTTATCGATGATTTCAATGCGTAAAAAACAACTGTAGTTGGCTCATATTAACCTGATCAACTGTCGACCAGAAAAAATCTTACCAGTCACTATAACAACCTTAAAAAACAGATTCTTTTGAATATTAACATGATAATTTTTTTTTCGTTGAGGTGATGAACAGAATACAGTTTATCACTGGTCAAGATATCAGCGTACAAGTAATAAAAAAATCACATTAGACAAATTAGAACAAGATATGATTACCATGGTTAGGGTTGCGGCATAAGCTGAAATTGTTTTTAAATAAATATGCAAAAGGTATTTAAAAATATTTTAATAATTTTTAATGGCTTCAATAAATTTAAATATTTACAGCAGATAATTTACATTCAAATGCACAAAGCCTTGGTTAAGAATAAGCCTACCTCATGTTTTCACTGTGTATTACGCTCTAAATAATTGGTATAGTTAGTGAGGAATCATTTTAGCCTTCCTTTGACTTACAAGTCACAATTATTCACACACAGATATAAACTGATAAATACATTGGAATGTAACGTGATCACTGATATAGTGTTTAAGCATTTTCGTGAAGCTCAGGCAATTTTCAGTAATGCTGATATCAGCTAAACAGTGCTTTCTGTTGAAAGCCAATTTACACCTTCGTTTCAGCACAAGACTACTTGACTCATGTTTGAATAATAAACTGATAGAGATTGATCTTTTGAATTCCAAAAGCCTAGTGGGTCTTTCCATCAGTTTATGAGTCACATACTTTATATAGAGTCATTTGTTCAAGCACAATCAGCCCCACTGAAGTGAACAGATGTTAACCAAACCTCTTCAACGATTGTTGTCTTAAAAGCCTTTTCAACTTCCACAATATATTCATAGTAAAAGCAGTTCTGTCATACTCCTCATAACCCTCAGCTTTCAAAAGCAAATGTTAAGTCAATACGACAAGTTAACTGATGCAAATACTTAAACCTTCCAAAGAGACAATGCGCTCAAAGCGAACAAATAGAACAAGTAACCTTACTGAATGAAACCAATTCAATTTCACCAGGGATACTTTGATTGTTCAGTGTTTTTTTTCGATCAATTGTGTAATACAGAGATAATGATCACTTACTTTATTGCTTGGACGTCTGAGTACATCACCAATTCCTCCACCATTCAATAATCCTTCTCGAAGTGTTGTCAATATACACATACGTAGTGAATCACATCGACGTTCTGTACTACTATCACCACTTCCTTAATGATGGATAATGCACCAGTAAATTCAAGAAAAAAAAGAAGGAGGATGAAAATTAATGAAACATCAAGTGATCAGAAAAATAGGAGGAACATAAAAATAATCAATCTGTTCTAAACACCAAAATAATACTGCCACTACTACTGTTTGCATATAAACAAATCAGACTTCAACTACAAACTTCAAAGTTGTAACCAATTTTAACTTGGTTTCTATTAATTCTATCGATTGATTTTGAAACCTCTGTTGGTAAATGTATATCAGTACTAGTAGAAATACTTTCAAATTATTCTCAACATGCTCTGCACTAGAACACAACGTTGAGCTTGAACGCAGTAATCGATTATGGAAAGACGTTTTTATTAATTTAACCTTTAATATAATAATCGATACCTTAGATTTGAAAAAGGCGAATAAAATTTGAACCTGGTGGTTAGAAGACGTGAGTGCCTTTAACACTAATCTATCAAGTATTAGCTTTGTTTGACAAAACATGAAAATAAAATAATATGAATATGTCAAGAAATGAAAATTTTCTCATAAAATTTTGATCGTCTAAATACCAAACAATTGATTATTGTAAGTTTTAAATATCAAATATTATATTTCAGTGAACCATTGTAGCAAGTCATATGTTAATAGTTTGAAGATAATGTTCAATGACATTGTCATTAAAAAAATTTAACTGGTTAGTGTTTGTAGTGCAAAAAATTTTAATCGTTTATCAGTACATCATTCTTTTGTGGACTGAATCATGTTGGTAAGTGTAGACTACTTGGTTAGGGTCTGCGAGATGATAGTTATTGATGGTTAGAGACCCTGAGTGATTTGATTTAAAATCGTTTGCAATGGCGCAGGTGAATTCATTCTTCGAATTTTCTCAAATCCTAATCCTTAGGATTCTTCATCACTTTTATCTTTCGCGTTTTAAATTTATTTCACTGATTTATACTTCTTAAATAATATCTTCTAACTCTAGTCTCTCCAACAACTGTCAATACTTTCTACTACCTCTACTAATATGGGATTTGATCTAAAAATTGCATCTATGTGCTAACGTGGTACGAAGACTCGAACTGGAATATGCACGTACTAAGTTCTACGCTGTAACTGACTGATTGAGTGACTGACTGCATCCTTTTAGTACATTAAAATATCTTGAGAAACACAGATTAACTGTTTAACTCTTAAAACCTTTCAACATTGTGGTCATCAAAAAAAGAGAAAAGCCAAATTATTCCCAAAAAACAACAGAGTGGTATTCACTATCAGCTGACCTTATCGTGAATAGAATCTTGCCAAACTCAACAAACAAATCATTTTCAGCCACTAGAATTGAACAGACAATGTTCATAACAGCTTACACATTCAAAACATCCAAAAACAATTAGTTATCCCATTAATACACCGCCTATTGAAGTAATCAGTCAATCAACAGCAACGTAGAACTTCTTACGTTAGTACGTACATCAGTTAGTTCAAGTCGCCATACCACATTAGCACAGAGACACAATGGTCAGATCAAATCCCATGTGCTTCGATGATATTATTATTTACGAAGTAGAATCCAGTGAAATAAATTTAGAAAGAGAAAAAATAGAGGTGGTGAGGAGAATTAAATAAGATTAGAATTTCAGATAAGAAAGAATATTAGACTAAACTAATGGATGGATGATAAAACAGAAAACTATGTATTTATTACAGTTTATTTGTTACAATCACAACTTATGTTTACACATATAGAAATTACTGTGTTTTTTTAAATTATAGTGTATGACAAAGTCATTAAAAATGTGGATGAGTAATTCTTCGTCTGTATTCAAGTGTCCAATATGAAACTAGTTTATTTACTGCAATTTATTTTCTAAAATCTGTATATATTAGTTTGATTATGAAGATTTTATTGTCGTTTTGCACATATATCACTGACTAATTGTTGAGGATAACGAAAATGAACGTGATCCTCTCAGACTCTGTTAAATTTAAATCAGATTCAAAGATCGATAACGTGAAGTTGGTCGAAAAACAGATGTGCCCGAGAACTACATCTACTCATGCTTCATGGTTTTATCACCGAGGCCCATTATATATAAAATGCTCAAGCCCATTGGCACATGCACACCAGAAATGTATGGCTTACCGAAACTACACAAGCCTAGAACACCGATGAGACCGATTTTGTCCATGACAAATTCATCATAACATAAGCTAGCAAAGTGGTTGAAAGGAATTTTGGATCCTGTTTGTAAACAAGTGTCGATACATAATCTCATTGATTACTTTGAACTTCTCCCAACTTTGGAACACTTGAATATTTCTAATAGTCGGATGTGTTCTTTCGATGTAAACTATTTGTTCACAAATGTACCTCTCGAAGTAACTGTGGAATTTATTTGTGATTAAGAATACCCATTCCTACTACCTATCTTCGAGATCTAATTTTGATGTGCACAAATAATATAAAATTCTATTTCAAAGGTAAAGCATATAGGCAAATCGATAGAGTGGCTATGGGAAGCCCTCTCGGACCTGTTTTAGCAAACTTATTCATTGGAATGATAGAAAGGCAAGTGAGTCACTTCGTCGATGGTATTACACTTTACAAACGATATGTCGACGATATTCTTGTCATATTACCACATATAAACGTTCTGTTGTCAAGACTTTATTCGCTCGAGAAAGTAGAATCTGCACTGTTGATACACTGGAAGACGAATTCAAGCTTATTACTGAGATATTTAAATTAAACGGATATTCCGAAACGTTTATTGGTCATCAGAACACAACTACGACGAAAGTGATAGAAAATGATGTGCCCAAAAAACCAGTGTACCCACAGTTACCTTTCAAAGGTGATGACTGCATGAAAATGACAACCAAACAGACTGCAGCTGCAATAAAAAAGACCTTCAATGCAGCTAATGTGAGGCTTATCACAACAACTAAATCGATCTCAGTTACCCTAATCAAGTCTCCAAGACCGATTCAGTCCAAATCCCACTGTATTTACCGACTCACATGTAACTGTGGAGAAAGTTACAGATCGCCGATTGGAGGACAGGATAGGGGAACATATTCCAAGATGGTTAATCAAATCCATGATTCATCCACCTAGCCCGTCATCTCAAGATCGATCAAGAAACCCAGCCTCGTCCATTGCAAAACATCTAATGATGAGTGGTCATCAAATTACCCAAAATTAGCCTTTAGACATGTAACATGTCATCAAAACCCACACACACTGAAACTACTCGAAGCTATCTTGATTGGTCGTAAAAGTCCAACTTTATGTGTTCAAAAACAACTGTATGTTGACTTTTGTTTACCATGGTTCTAGTGAGTGAATGTCATGCTAAATAAGAAAATTTGACCTCATCTTCAAAAGTGCATTAACACGAATAACATGTTGCTTGTATGTGACTGACGAGAAAGCACGAAATGGTACTATCTCACAAAATGTCTTTGCCATCTGTTCATTTGTTGAATGTAATACAAGTCAGTTAGTTACAACGTAGAACTTCGTACGTACGTACATAAGTTCAGGATGCCATACCACATTGGGACAGAGACGCAACTATCACTTCAAATCTTATATTAGTAGAGGTAGTAGAAGTATAAGCATTAATCGGAGAGATTAGGGTTCGAGGATATTATTTAAGAAGTTAAACCTTGAATAATATCCTACACCTGGAGCCCCTGCGAGGCCACTTCCGGTCTCAAGCCCGCATAGAGGAGGAGGGTTGTGCTTGGGGTTGGCGACCCATCCCGCAGAACACCAACTCGCTAAAAAAACGCCAGCACAAAAAACATAATTCAGTCCATTTAAACTTTTTCGTGGGAGTTAGAAGGTCTTCACTTAGAAAAGTTGTAACGTCTCATGATGAAAGCCGAGTTCCTTCGGAAGTCACGAGACCTATTCCCCTTTCTGAAAACCAGAGCCCTTCCACACTGTGGGCAACCGGAAAGTAACATCCACCCTCGTAAACATAAACGCACACGAGACCAAATCGGTCACAAACAGATCTTTTGCACACCTCCTAATAATGCAATACAAGATGGGATATTCAGAAGAAAAGAAAAGTATTTTAACATTTACAATTAAATGATCGGTGTACAGAGATGAATATCATGTCTATGATACGGTCACCATGCCTCAAAACTAAAAATCATGTGCAAGATTTTAAGTTGTTAAATGGTTGGTAGAGAATGATGAGCCTAGACCTCATGCCATTTTTTCTGTCACCAAGGTTTACCTATATGGTGGATGTTATTCACAAGATGTCTCAGACGTAGCCTGCAGCAGAACGTCACCTAGTAGTTGCTACCAGATAGAAGATTGTCAGGAGATCGGATTGCACGGCTTGACCAGAGTATTTTAAAGATCAAAAAATTAGTGACAGAAGACAGTCTCTAAGCTGTCTGAATTGCTAATACATGATTGAAAACTATGTGTAAATATTTCGTAACCAAAATGGGATTTGTCCAAATATACATATATTCCATCTAATCTTTGCTTTTTCGCATATCACATTCGTAATTTCTAAGTAACTGACATTCCCAGGTTCATCGAATGAAATGAAATGGCTAAGAATAACCTCCCTTAGGATTGATGTATTTATAACTGATTGATCATTGAGTATTGACTAATGTCATGTTTTCTCAGTCCGCCGCGGATCGTCAGTCCCCACAAGATTACAGGGATGCATTGCTACGAAGTACCGAATAGCTTGAGACACAGGTCTACAGTGCTCTGCCGACTAGCTTCAACCATCTAACAATGTTGGAGATGCTAGATCCCCAAAACTCGCTTGGTAAATATCTTTATTTTGGATTTATTTCATGGAAAGATCATTTGAACTTGAGATCACATTTCCCACCAGGAAAATCCCTGCCTGTGATTGGTTACTGTGTCATTTTGGTGTGCTATTTTTAGGACTGTCCCAAAGACGTCTCTATAGAGTATAAATAAACGCAATTCGAGTGATTGGTTTCATTGTATGCTGGCTGGGTGTTTGTTCTACACTATATCAAGACTTCTTACTGATTCAATTTGGTCAAGGGATCAGAGTAGCCTACCTGGACTCTTGGTTCATTGTTTTGTTCTCGTTATTCGACTAAGGTGAACTCCTAATAGTTTAAGCATACCTAGAGACGAGCATAACAAACATACTCAGTCAATACGGTGAAATTTACGAGTAACAACACTGCATAACTGATTTTGCTAGTCAATATTTTCGGCATGGTATTATTATTAGTAGTACAAATAAAACAATTAAACTAACCATGATCATCTGTTAAATCAATTTCAATGGTGAAATCATTTTGAAAATAAGCATATCCAATGATCGAATATAAATAGATAATGATCAAGGCTAAAATCCCAGTTAAGAAAATTGATCGACCATTTTTTGTCACTGAACGGACAACATTCAACAATGTCTCTTCACGGGTGACCACATCAAGTAGCTGAAATTTAATAAAAAGAAAAGTATCATATACTTATTTATCGAGATTAGGATTAGGCGGTGTTCTCAGTATTTTCTGATGAGTCCCATATCAGGATGAAACGGCCGTCTAGTGATTCCAGGTTTCTAAAGGTGGTCTAACAATGATTGATTGATGCTTTCAAATGCGTAAAAACACTAATCTCCATAACTGTAATAGAAAATATCGTAATATTTGCTCACTAGTGAATAGCTTCGTGAAGACATTCTCAGAGTTCTAGGTGAGAATATGTGACCGGTGGAGTTCAACCTGGTTTGGGTGTAGGCAAATGGGTGGGGTCGCGCAAAATCTGTAGATTGATCTGAGTTAGACATTCACACCGCTTGATACTGGACTAGTGGTCCAGAGATTAGGCGTTCCGGCAAGACCGAAGGTCCTGAATTCAAATCCTGCAAGACGAAGGAGTCCCATACCAGGATCAAATGGCCGCCTTTCTAATGGTGGTCTAACAATGATTGACTGATGATTACAATGTGCGAAAACGCCGATCTCCATAACTCTGACCGAAAACATATCAACTCACTTTAGCCTTATATTCCACATACGCGTACACTTTCCAGAACGGAAATACAAACTGAACAGCAGGTCTTTGAATTTTCATGTAACATTTAATGAGACTAAACAGTGTTTTAGTCAACAGATTAAGAGTGGATACTGGATTTTTCAGCTACATGCACCGATTTACAATAATTCGGGAATGAAATGATGTAAAATAAAGAATGGATACCGTGAAATTTTCTGCAGATAATGAGAAATTATGAAATATACTGATTATCTTCAAACAATCAGATATTCACATTGGTTTATGCATTCGAAGCGAAATTTTTAACACAATGGTAGGACTAACTACGGTACAACCGCTAGATTGTTTTATTTGAAAATATATACTGCTAGATCTTCACCGCCTTAGCTTATTGAACGATGCCGACATTACTCAAACACAGTTTTTTTTATCAGACCAACTGGTTTCTTCGATGGAAAAGCCAAATAAAGATTACCAAACTGATCTGAACTTATTGTACATCAAAAAATAGAATTCAAACTTCGACGATAAACTTCTTAACTAGATGTATATGCTTACTTACTTATCTTCGCTTGTTACTCCTAATGGAGCATAGGCGTTCGACCACAATTCCCCTAGCAACAATATCTATCCACTTCTTCCCTATAGCTATTCATTAATTTTTTATATTTGTCTTCAATTTCCTGGACAACGTCTCTTTCAGTGTGCCCCTTTTCTTTTGGCCTTGTAGATTCCAATTAGGGTTTGCCCCTTGATACAGTTGCCTAATTTCTATTCTACCATCAGCGTTTTCTCGTAATTTCTTCCCCAGCTAGAATCTAGTTTTTCCCCTCCCACAGTCGGTTGCGGTCGATGGTGTCTTGCCAAATCATCTGCAGTATCCTATGTAGGCAAGTGTTCAAAAACACCCGTACATTTTGGGTGACGACTTTCGTAGTTGCCCACACAACAGAACTGTCTTAACATTTGTTATCAAAATAGTGACTTTGGTGTTGGTTGGAATACAGTTGTTTTGATTTCCAGATGTTTTTCAATTGTAGAAATGCTACTCTTTTTTTGCCAATTCATGCCTTGATATCTACATCAAATCCACCTTGTTTTTAAATGATTCTGTCCAGGTAATAAAAGTTTCCACATCTTTTAAAGCTTCACCATCAAGTGAGATTAGGTCGGTGCATGTTCTGTTGTATCTATGGATTTTACTTTTTTCCTTGTTTATGTTGAAACCTACCGCTTCAGAGGCTGTCGCTACAATGACCGCCTTCATCTACATTCGTTACTATGCGTTGGACAGAATAGCCAGATCATCAGCGAAGTCTAAATCTTCTAACATTGACCATGCTGTCCACTTTACTCTGTTTCCACAAAGGTGTTAGGGCTTTCATAATTTAGTCAAGCACCAGAAGAAAGATTAAGAGAGATAGCAAGCAACCTTGTTTGGCACTGTTCTTCACTCGGAATAGATCTGTACACTGTCCCCTATGTACAAATTCGCGCTTTCATCCTTCATAAGAGTTCCGTATGATATTGAAAATCTTGGCAGTTACACAGTGTCAAGGAAGTTTCTATAATATTTTCCAGTCTGCACTGCCAAATACTTTCTCATAGTCAAGTAAGTTGATGTATATCAATGGGTTCTAAGATGACTGATCCTTCAGCAAGGATCCTTAGTATCACAGTTCGCTCAGCACAAGATCAATCCTTACGGATTTCAGCTTGTCGATCTTGAAGTCAGACGTCCACAGAATCTCTTATTCCTTTCAACAACACTCTACTGAAGACTTTGCCTGATAGATGTAAATGTTATTAACACCACAAATGCTTCATTACACAATGATGTTACGTACATAAAATTTTAACTAGTGACAAAATATGAGTAACTATCAATCTATATATTTAATATTCAGCCAGTTTTTCAAGTATGCACCAAGTTTTGTTTCACAACCATGACACAACAATCTGTTTTAACCTTGAATTTACCCTGGTAATCTTTAAGCCTAGGGTAATGTGACAATTTTCCTACCGTTTCTTATTCTTTTCATATTACGTTAATTTTCTCTCTCCTTTATTTACAATTGTCACCTTATTTCTTTACACATTTGAAATCATCAATCAATCATTGTTAGACCACCATTAGTAACCTGGAAGCACTGGACGGCCGTTTCGTCCTGGTATGGTATGCGCATCCACGACCCCTGCTCCTCGCAGGATTCGAACCTGGGACCTTCGGTATTGTACGCGAACTCCTAACCATTGGACCACTGGACCGGCATCCAGCGACGCATGTGCCTCGAATAACCTTGTATACATCATTTGTGGTTAATTGATTTACAGAATTTAATATCATATAAGATTTGTAAATGATTAATTAAATCGCCGCTTCCCAATGGTCATCTTATACACAATGGATTTAATTTTTGAAAAAATGCAATTTCAGTTGGACTAGGCATATAACTATATATAAGGGGACAAAAACATAACCTTTACTCCCTTTTCATCAAAAAAATTTTCGGTAGCATTGGAGTGATGGATCTTTGCATTATATATCAAGGATAAAAATGAAATTCTTAAAAATTGATTTTTGATTGCATTTTTCAATCACTTGACCCGAAAAAAATGAATGAATGAATAAACTTATCGGAGTTCGCTGAACCAAAAAAAATGTTTGAGCAAAAAGAAACTTCATTTCCGGTTATTGTGGATATTATCAAACTTTGATTAGTACCACGTATTGACAGAACTATGACACTTGCTAATTTTCCTCTTGCACATAGATCTTCCCAAATTTCTTCTCAAATACAAATTAAAGGTGGATTCATCAATAGAAAACTTTTATTAAGAAGTGCTCGATATTCATAAAATCTAACGCATATATCTGTCACTTAATTTTACTTGATTCTGAGTTGATATTCATCGATGTGTCAGAACATGTTAAGCATAATAAAAGAATTTTTCAAAAAAACCAGTTGAAACACTAAATTCGTATCACTTACCACTAAACTATAAAAGAATGGATGTAACATAATTCCAGCAGCATTAAATAGAATTAAAATGATATTGTAAATTAATTTACAATTCAATTGATTGAGATTTCCAGATTTTGTAATCAATGCACAGAAAAACACTTTGAAACAATGCAATAGTTCATGTACAACAATCAAGTAACTAGTATACCACCATGATAAGAGTAAAGATGATATTTTCTGCTTGGTGTTGAGTGATTTTGTCTTTTCCGAATTGTTATCATTACTATTGTTATGATTATTATGATTATTATTGTTACGCAATAGGTCTGTACATTTCCATTGGAATTCATTTGAGAATAGACAATTTTTATAATCATTATTAATAAGGAAATATTGTTTGAAAATAATGAGTAAATTTGTAAATCTGAAAATAAACTTTTTGAAAAAAAGATACGGAATATTAAATTATAATTAACATTAATTTAAATGTAAAGTACTGCGAAAAAAATTCAAGTACTTTAACGAGTGATGGTGGTGACTAGCAATGAAATGGAAACACATGTTGAAAAAAAAGAGCATCTCATCACTCCTTGAGTTTATTGACATTTAACTTGATTAGACCGTTCAATTTTTTGAGTAATTAACTAACTGATCACGACATCGGAACAATCATAATTTGCACATGACTTTGTACTATTGTTGCGCTCGAGGATTCAGGTGAGGACATTAACAATATATATTTAAGTGAATATTACAGAGTTGTTAGGCATATTTACAAAACCTTCCCGTGAATCATCATTTGCAAATCAATCCTTATTTGTTTCAGATATCAGTGTTCTTTCATTTAGACTGTTCAGACTTCAGTTCACTTTACGTTACCTAGAAAATCGCCTTCTGTTCTCATTCTTTCCTTCTCGATCTTTTGCTGTCGGAAGTTTTATTTCCATTTGATATCATATACTAAGTAGCGCACACCACACTATTATTATCATTATGATGTTTGCATGAGTATGTATACGGTTGGTCAGCTGTTCCAGCCTGCACACATATTCCTTTCGCAAGTTTAAGTAATATTTGACTAAATATCTATGCATCTTTATTGCTATTCATCAGTTCCCCGACATTCGCATATTAATTCGTATTTGCTTTGTATACTATTTATGATTTTGTGGTCGATGCTGTCCGATAATCAACGGTCGTCAACGCCTCGTATTGTCTTCTGAAGTCTATACATCGTTATTGGTTATCTAATCACAGTTATCAGGATGAGTAAAAACACAAAGTTTATGAATTACCTCGAATATAATCCATTACAATCGTATTTATAGTGAATTTTATTCGTTGAAATGATAGTCTGTATTAAAGAGAACAGTTAAGAGGCACGGTTAAGACCCTTCCTCCTATTTTTTCAATAATCTATGAGGATCCTTTCGTCGATATTGTGTGTTTGTATTTATTATTTTCTAAAAATTATTATTTCTAATTCTTCTTAATTATTTTCATAACGATGAACTGGCCATTATTACTTACATACTCTTTGTGTGAAAATTATATTTGGTAAATAATCTCAATGATTGAAATATAAGATAATTCCAATGTTTCCTCTAGCTATCTTGTCTATACTGGTTCTTTAGAGTAATAATAACAATCAAAATTGAAGTGATCAAAAAATATGAGTATCACTCGTTTAACAAACAAACCGACTTTACACTACATGTTTATCTAATCATATACCAATGTTGACTTTAGTCAGTCAATTGAGAAGTGAAACATATGTAAAGTTCACATTGTGAGAAATAATAAATCAATATGTGAATGTGTATGTGTAAACTCCGCCTGTAGACCCTACGGAGCTACTGCCGGTCCCAAGCCCGGCTAAAAGAGGAGGGTTGAGCTTAGAGTTGGCGACCCCATCCCGTAAAACACTAACTCGCCAAAAAAAACGCTAACAGGAAAGAATAATTCAAATATTTTAAACTGTGCTCTGGGAATTAGATGGTCTTACTTCAGAAGAGTTACGACATCTCATGATAAAAGCTGAGTCCCATCAGAAGTCATGAGACCGATGCCACTTCTAACAACCGGAGCCCTTCCACGGGGCTGGCAGCCGGGCAGTAACATCCGCCTTCATACCCATAAAAGCACACGAGACCAAATCGATCAAAATCAATGTGTACGTGTAACATTTGCGTAATTTATAAAAGTGCAGTTGAAAAGGTTTTCTTTTTAAAACAAGTGTTCACGCGATGTTAAAATATTCAAAGAAATTACTTTCCGCTATACAGTAAGTTGTTCAGATCGGTGAGTTTCATTGGAATTTGAAATTTATAACTATGAGCCTCTTAAAGTAAGTAAGAGACGAACAGTAAATAATCTAATTATCTCTCAAAATGTATTGATTTCTGCGATACAATGATACCTAACTTTTATGGACCAAACTGTTGAGAAACGCTAGATTGTATTCGATGGATTTTATCGCTCATTAGTTAAGTAGTTTCTGTCATGTTTTATAAATTTTACATCATCGCTTTTCAATCATTTCGTTTGATAATGACAAAAATGTCACCTACATATGGAAACCAAACTTTAGGACAGTGTTAGACCACATTAGAAACCTGATGGAAGCA